CCATCTGGCGTTACCTTGAAACACGAAAAACGGGTCTGAATATTATCTTATCAAATTGAAATATATTACTGGTTCGTGGCAGAAATAGAACCTTTAAGGGGGAACACAGTACGCCCCATCACCATTGAGCGTATATGTCAAGTTATGCCATCTTGTAAATGTTTGCGGGTTTGTTATTTACTACGCGATGTTATTCCTTCATCGTGGAAGTCATACATGAACGTTTGTCTATATGTTATTTCATTAGAAAAATCGATAGCTGTCAAGGGGTTTGGACACTTTGAATGGTTGCATCGTTTGATACAAGTGTACCGGGAATCTTAGCTTTGAAACTTTATAGAAATTTCGATCTTAATTAGTGATAGGCTCTCACAATTGTTATATTTTAGGTAGACCGCCTAATGATAAAAATATAATAATATTATGTATTTCTTTAATAGCTGCATCCATAAAACTCTCTCCTATAAACTTAATTTACAAAATCAAAACAATTAGATGAAAACATGGAAAACATAAATACGAGACGAATACGATGGCAATTAGTTAATAAACCCATTAATCAATACGATATGAAAATAATGAATAAGAATAAAGTCAAGGACATTTCACGAATCGAGCCAATCCTTAATATTGGGCTTGCGTGACATGGAAAGGAAAAAAATGAACGCGATATCATATTATTAATGGGCAGCACGTTTTCAGGAAGCAATGAATTATCGTCTAGGTTTGTTTGTGTTTCGTCTTTTAAAAAAATATTGTAATCTAAGAATTCCCTAACATTGGTGCACAAATTCAAAAAAGAACATTGCAGATATAACTGAAACAAGGGAGTGGGGTGTTCTCGCATGGGACCGAGTAAGCTCGTCTAGGGCTTCACACGAAAGGGGTCGAGATTTAAAAGCGCTTATAGTATATTTTTGCCTGATATCCTCACCAAGATAATCTGATTAAAAAATAATAACATTATGTTTTTCACATTAATATATAAGTATTTTGTTTATAGTTATTCAATTACATTTTTTTCCTTTGATTTTATTAAACCATATTTTCAAATTATATTTTCGTAAGGTTAACAATGTAAAGGATATTTTTCAAAGTTTTTATAATAATAGCGTTATAGAATTTAGCGAAGCATTCCAAGGTACTTTTACCTCGTATTTGTATTAATTATGTTGTATCTTTAAGAAAATTCGTACTGAGTCTTGTTTTTTTTCCCTCACTAAGCTGGTAGCCTCGAGCGGATATGCCAGCGAAACCGAGAAAGCAGGTAAGCTCACGTGGCTCTAACCTGAGGAAGTTGCTAACACTAGCCCTAGCAAGAGCAGTGCTTCGCAGAATTTTGCACCGGATTGGAAACGCGACCTCTGAGAAGATCCGGCTCAGTGGGCTCTGTCTGTGGATTATTTTATTCGCCGAACCCTTCGTCACAAGCTACGGGTTCTACAAGAACGGTGAGCGGTGCTTGAGGTACCTAAAAGCACCGCTACTGGATCGGGAAGATCCGAAATGACGTGTTTAGGGCGACGTCGACCGTTTACCATTCGGTCCCGTGTCGGGTATGTAGTTACGGCCGGCACGACAAGACGGTTTTCAACGTGGCACACTGATGCCAACTAAAAATAATTACTGATGGAGTCAAGCTCCAGATCGTCGTAGAGATCCACGTTCATAATGAGCCTCGGTTGCTTCTCAAATACTTCTTAAATCTGGTTTTCCGATTTCCTATAAGTGTAACTTAGTTGAATCATCAATAAATGTCAAGATTATAATCTGAAGTTAGTTTCCTATGTGGCGTTTTGGCATTTTCGGTACGTACAACAATACTGCATACATCTGCCACGAAGCAAATGCCTTCCGGTTTAAAGAAAAAGGTAACCGTATAGAATATATTTGAGAGAAACCTGATGACCTTGCGTGGTACATATAACTTCTGGTAACTACTTAACACACTGTGTACTATAGACTATCCATATAATGCAGTAAAAAACCTACCGAGCAAGTTTGTATTGACTATTGTTACATTGACTGACGAGTGGAAAGATAATTTAATTCGCCTCATAAAAACATTTTCGTCTAAGCAGTTAGCTTTGTAGCGAAACTCAGGAGCTAACTCTCATAACCACATTTCACCTGTGGAATCCGTAACGTTATTTTCTTCTTGTTACGACACGCCGGTAGTCCGTACCGGTTTAACTCAATAACGGGCAGGCACTGTCCCAGGTAGCTGTTAAGACAGATTTATTCTCGTTACGATATACTGGCCGAGAGCGTTTCCAAGTATTTCTTGTGGACATCATAACTTGCTTGAAGCATTCAACGAGGCCTGGTTAGATTTGGTCGGATATAGCTGTTTTTTTTTAATCATCTTATCATTTTTTATAGCCGCGGTCTCTTCATTTTTTAAAAATTAAATGCACAATTTTATAAATCATAAGTTTTGTTCGTCAAAAGTCTAATGTAAAGTAATTTTATTTATTTGCGTGAGATATTCAAATTATAGTACCGCCGTTCTGAAGACCTATGATAGGTAGTATAAGTAGCTACTGTAAGACTTTTTACTGGTGGTAGGACCTCTTGTGAGTCCGCACGGGTAGGTACCACCACCCCGCCTATTTCTGCCGTGAAGCAGTAATGCGTTTCGGTTTGAAGGGTGGGGTAGCCGTTGTAACTATACTCAGACCTTAGAACTCATATCTCAAGATGGGTGGCGCATTTACGTTGTAGATGTCTATGGGCCCCAGTAACCACTTAACACCAGGTGGGCTGTGAGCTCGTCCACCCATCTAAGCAATAAAAAAAGAAAAGACTCAGAATAGACTCTACCGCTATATTTTCTACAGGTTAAGAAATATCTTTATGTAAGTAAAATGTAATTTGAATGTTGTGGTACAAAATACGAGTTTCTTCGTCTCAAAATTCGAAACGGCAGAAATAAATCTTAATTTTTCAGCCATTCCAGTCCCCGTGAAAGGTACACAGGTGCCTCCACCTAATTCGGCTTTTACTTTTATTTTCCTTGTTTAGAAGTCATTAGCTAATTACTCGGTAAGAAAAAGCTTACTTTACACCGAACGAGATTTATTTTGTTTTACCTAATTTTGAAACTCGACCAATTAAAACCTAATCTTTTTATCTAAATCTTATAAAAGTGGCTTATCTTGATTGGTTAGGTACGGGACGTTATAATAAGTTAAATAATTAAGTATCAATGTCTTGGAAACTGCTACGTGCGTGTAAGCTGATTTGGTCCGCTAGAGACCTATTTAATGGCTACAGGAAATTCGAGTGTGGAGGCTCCAAGTTCGGCAGTCCAAGCCAAGGGAACATGGTATCGTAGGCGAACCCGGTGGTCGAACATCATCAAGACCGTCGTTACAGATTGGTTGAACCATTATTGAGAATGTAGTCTCACTCTACCGCTGATCCAGGTGATCAAAGGTCATGGCTATTTCGGCCGAGTCCTGCCAACCAAACCGTACGAATGGGGCCGACGATAGCGTACCATCACGTTGGCTGCGATGAGGATACGGCGATGCTGACCTGCGAACCGGGTTGTCACTTCCAGGTGCCGTATCTGCGATGCTAGATAGTGCGAGTCCTGGAAAGTGAAGCTCGACTTCTTGACAGTCTTAGCGAACAAAAAAAAACCGATTCATTTTAAATTATTACGTAACATAACACAATATTATTAAGATTTCGACATTTTTTACGGTAGACAGCGGCTTGGCTCTGCCCCTGGCATTGCTGACGTCCATGAGCGAGGGTAACCACTCACAATCAGGTGGGCCGTATGCTTTGTCATTTATTGCCTCTGTAGGCAGACACAAAGGTAATAAAAAAATCACTTGTATTATTTAGAAATTTCAGTAACCATTTTAGACGAAGTACGCTCTCGTTCTTTTAGGGTTACAGCAAAAATAATGCGCGTGACAAGTCCGGTGCTCGACGGAAGTTTACTTTTAAGTATGTACGATTGTTATTTAAAATACACTATTGTATTGCCTTTGGATGGTGATAAATGAACCCAAAACTTGATAGATATTTTAGAACTAAAAATCAGACTATCGCATATTTCACATTATTTTTACTGTTGCACATCCCTGTGCTAAAACTCAATGATATTCAAACAGTGAACTAAAATTTTATTATATATCAGAAGCATTTTAATCATTGTAACCTTCAAGCTCTAAAGGATTTTTCTTTGTATAAGTTCTGAAGCATCATTAATACAAATTTTATATTTTCGTGATTTGTATGAACTTAAGGTTTTGTTGTTTTGTAATTTTTACGGTCGACGATGCCCGTGCTCGCGTGGCTACGCTGCGTAATCGTATTTTATATCAACAATGGCCCTTATCTCTAAAACGTATTTCAAATTCATGGGGCTGCCTCGTTGAAAAATTGTCCTCGGTTTTATGTTTAGAACTCTTGGTTGATGATAAAAAAAAAATCAAGCTACGCTCTGATTCAAACAGGCACCGAGCTGATTCTTTCGAAATTTTGCTAAAATATACGAACAGCCTTTGCAATCCATAAATCTTCTCATAACCGGTCGTGTTTTTTTGTTTTCTAGATTGATATTTAGACTCTTGTTCCGAAACGCTAGCAAGAACAAGGCAAGACAACTTTCAAACGCTTTTTTTCTTGAGCTTTTTACGATATTGGTTTCGAGTGAAATATCGGCCTACTTAACTTATTTATCTCTGGCAGCTAGGCCTGCGACGTGCGTGCAATGCAAAAGGACCCCGATGTATTCAGTGAATGTTAAATGGGGTCATTTAAAATTTACATTTTAAGTGTATGTAGTGATCATTCTATTTTCAATTATGAACTGTGCCCAATTGAGTGAAAATATGCTTGCTGTTTTCTCGGGCTGACTGGATGAGCGTCATGTTCTCGTCGCTAAGATTGGACTTACTTACTGCTGCCGACTGTCGTACCTCTGATATCTGGTAGTGATGAGTCCCATAAGTAATCATCGATTTCTGTGTGTCCATCAGAAGGTAGCGGAGTGCGGAAGAGAGATATTGTCTCTCCACACCAATTCAACGCCGACGAGCTGGGGATAGGAGAAAGGCTTACGCTCAACTCCGACCCCTTTAGGAGGTGGCCTCCGTCGGAGACCTGGTTCGGGGTGAACGGCGAGGTAACGGTAATATGGTGTTCCATTCCACTAAAAATGATAGCATAAACAAAAATAATTTAAGACATTCGAAAACATGATAGTAGTAAAAGTAACTGAAAACCTTGAATGCATAATAAAAGAAATGAGACATTTGGAACATTCGTGGCCAGAGGATAAGACACGTTGTGTGTTGTGATGCAAGTGTGCCGTGGCTAATCGTAGGGCTGGTACAAAATCTCACTAGTAATGTACAGAATATGTCTGATAAATGGAATGATATTCAAACTGACAAAGAAGCAAGACGAATAACACGAAATGGACGAATAAGGTGAAATTTTTATTAGATTTTATGATGTTATTGTTTACTTTTTTAACCACTTATATTCTAACACAATGAACGTAAATAAATGTAGATATTTACAAATTCACTGCGTTTTAAGTTACATAAAGTTTCAGCTTAAAAGAGGAGTAGATACTCTGTGGCGGAGTAAAGTATTAGCGCAGTTTCAAAGCTTTCATGTCTATTATTTATTCAAAGTAAGAATATAGAAAGCTTACCATGCAAGCACTTTATTCGGTGCAGCTTTACTATAATGATGAAGAAAGCTTTACATTTTAAAATTAAATCAGTGCTTAGATGCAATAAAACCCTAAGTAAGTAACGTTTTTGGAATGAACTCCACGGTGTTTTCCGAGCGCTATGACATGTCCTTCTTCAGACAAGGCTTGCAGAGAGTACTTTATGGTAGGCAGCGGCTTGGCTCTGCCCCTGGCATTGCTGACGTCCATGAGCGACGGTGACCACTTACCATCAGGTGGGCCGTATGCTCGTCTGCATACAAAGGCAATAAAAAAAAAAAAACGTTTGTAAATATTTTTAACTAATTTTAATCACGTTGCTCGCTTCTCTGACTCATGCGAAGAGGTAAAATCATCATTTAGACTTGTGAAGCTGTTTGTAATTAGTGTAACTTGATTTTTTTCAATGAGGTTAATCTCGGATTTTGTTTGTAAAATCTATGAATTTTTTTGTATTTAATCATTCGAGAGCTCCATTTTTTTTCCCTACCTAAGCTTGAGAGGCTATGTCAGCGTAACCCTAACTAGTAGGTGAGCTCACGGGGCTCAAACCGGAGTGTTGCTAACACTGACCCTAGCAAGAGCAGTGCTTCGCAGAATCTACCACCGGATCGGAAATGCGACCCACTGAGAAACGGCGAGAAACTCAGTGGGCTGTGTCTGTGGTTTAGTGAGCTCCGTGACCTCGTGGATAAGACACCCTATATAATATTTGTGTAAGCCACGTGACGTTGACGAATGTAGTTTATCAATCAGAATTTTTTATGATATTAACGAGTCCTATTTGGAGTTCGAACAAGTAAGTCCACTATGCACATCTCCTTTTGTCTTTTTATTTTTCTCTTCTTTCATTTATCTAAATGTATTCATCTAGTTCTGTGTGAAAGGCAATAAATTATTTTATTATTATTATTGTTTATCTTTGTATTTATCTATAACGGAATTTTTCAACGTAATATAGTAATAATAATAATAATTATTATAATAATAATTCATAAACATCAAAACGTCCGATCAACTTGATATTTTCACACGTATCAAGACCGATGATGACACAATCATGATTACCAATACTTTGTCCTATCTTGACTAAGATCACCGGGAAGAAAAATATAATATTAGTTCTAGTATTGTAGTATTAACCGAAGTCTCAGGTTTAATTGAAATTCATGAGCTCCGGTGAGCTCTTAATACGAAATGGTAGTCCATAAACTATCAGTCCTATAACGAAGATCACCATGGAAAATTTTCTTTTGTGTGTGCGTTGCCATTATGTATGCGATTGTAGATAAAAATAGATTTTTATTGAGCGCCTACATACTACATCTGAAAAGGAGTGAGTATGCCCAATTTAGTTTATCTGACAGATGCTTTTGGGGATCTCGCGTTGAGCGTCTGGTATTTCACTTTCATGTATAAATATAGAATTTGGAGAGTAAAAAGTGTCGCCGCCCTTTTGAAATATTTCAACCATGTTTTTTTGTCTATACTAATATTATAAAGAGGAAAGATTTGTTTGTTTGTTTGTTTCGAATAGGCTCCGAAACTACTGGACCGATTTGAAAAATTCTTTTTCCATTAGAAACCGTCATTGTCCCTGATGAACATAGGCTAGTTTTTTTAATTTTTTTTTTTTTGTTTCATGTGTGTTTTAATGTTTCCGAAGCGAAGCGAGGGCGGGTCGCTAGTTATTAATACAATTGCTCGGGGGGGCCTAGAACTAACGATTTAGCTCAAAGTAAGTAATCACAATAACATGTCTTCGATTACAGAATTGGTTCCAATACAGAGTGTATTGTTTATAAATGAAGTGAGTGTGTTATCAGTATGAGACCAAAGGTTGTCTTTCAATATGCCTAATCGTTTGGTGATGTGAATCTGGCGGTCTGCTGCATCATCATCATCAGTCCATAGTCGTCCACTGCCGAACATAGGTCTTTCCCAATTTATACCAGTGAGCTCGATCTTAGCTTCTCTTTATCCATGCAGGCCACTCTTCGCAAATACTTACTGGTGGTAGGACCTCTTGTGAGTCCGCGCGGGTGGGTACCACCACCCTGCCTATTTCTGCCGTAAAGCAGTAAAGCGTTTCGGTTTGAAGGGTGGGGCAGCCGTTGTAACTATACTTGAGACCTTAGAACTTATATCTCAAGGTGAGTGGCGCATTTACGTTGTGGATGTCTATGGGCTCCAGTAACCACTTAACACCAGGTGGGCTGTGAGCTCGTCCAACCATCTAAGGAATAATAAAACAAAAACTCGAACTATCTAACCGTGTGCCACTGCCACATCTAGTAACTAAAATTACAAATACCTAAATGGAATATCTAATTTAAACATAACTAACGTTCAATACGAGTATGTACAACTCGGATGAAGACAATTTCCTGAGGCGCTGCCGCTCGTTAAGTCAAACGTAACTATACGATATGTGGGCGAATACCTTCGATACATTTATTTACATACGTGCCTTTATAAATCAGAATATTCCCCGGAGATAAAGAGGTAGGGGTATTGTTATTTCTATCAGAATATAATATCGTGTAGGTGGATAGTTCATACCTTATTATGTTTCTTTAGGCCGTTATATTTAAGAGTTTTCGAATGTTTAAAATTACTGCTTAAATAACTGATTAAATTTGTTCAGAATACGGTGAATTTTTCAAATATGTAAAGTAAATGTTATTACTAAACCGAAAGCTTTAAATTAAGTTCGCTTAATGAAATAAAAATGCTTAATTTTTTGTACCACTTCTTGTATCGTGACCGCATATCGTGAGGTAAGTAATAATGATTTTATTAAATACACTTAGCTAGTTGCACTCAATTGTGGAAAACTGTGGCTTTATTGGTACCTATATATCACAGGCGTATGTTATCGTCCTAATATAAAACGGACACCGGTTTTGGGTCATTTAGTTTACTAGAAACTAGTTAAGTTAAAAACCAGTTTCATTAAAATAAGTATTTTTAGTAAAATAGTAGTTTTGGTTTATGGTCAACCAAAAAAACAATAATAAACCAAAATGCCTTGGTGTCAGAAAGCCTTTATTAGGACTTACGTAACCTTCTTTAGGGTTCCATGGCTCTAATGGCAAATAATAACTTTTCTGAAATAGTTTATCACTTATATGCGATAGTCATTTCACTCGAAGACTATTTACATAGTTTACATGCACTTTTAGGAAATGTATTGAAAGATGTTACATATGTTCTATGAGATGCTATTTTGTGATGTATGCCAATTACGAAACATAAATATAATTGCCCATAAGTTACCATTACCGAAGCTCAAGTAGAATTAAACTGAACTTAAACCTAAAAACGTACCTAAAACACTATTCAGGTAGTCAGAAAAGCACTATTGCTTATTATAGGGGCGGAATTGTATCTTCGTCGTACAAATCAGAATCGATTTGTTGCTGCAGAACTTGTAGCTGCTATGCTTGGCAGCGGCAGATCATGGCGATCGATGCTCGGTTTCTGGGTCGGCGGACAGGCAAAAGGCAGCGGGCTCTTCTCTCTCTAGACCCAGCCGTCGCGGCCAAGCCAGGGGCTAAGATAGCGATCTCGACCAATTCTTGACAAAACGAAGTTCCAGCATTACCACAATATTCTGGCCTTCAAAACACCCCTGCAAACCTTCATACAAGGATTTACAGACCATAGGTGAGCGACAGGCTTAGATTTGGACTTTAGATTTATGTTATTTCATCATCGTCAGCCTGCGGTAGTCCATTGCTGGACATAGACCTCCCCCAAAGCTCGTCACTGAACCTGATCTTCGGTTCTACGCATCCAGTCATTGCCAGCTGCCTTGCGTAGGTCGTCACTCCAGCTAGCAGGAGGGCGTCCTACACTACGTGTGCCGGTTCGCGGTCTCCACTCCAGAACAAGTCTACCCCAACAGTTATCGGTTCTGCGACATATGTGGCCAGCCCACTGCCACTTCAGCTTACTAACTCTGCGAGCTATATCGATCACCTTGATTTTTGCCCGAATTACTTCATTACGTATTCGTTCTCCGCAATGACAAACCAAGCATAGCTCGCTGAGTAACTTTTAGTTGGTGGATTAGTCGCACGGTCAGTACTCGGTGCCGCAGTACTCGGTGCCGTGCACTGGTAATGCTGCTGCCCATTACCCGCCAGGGGATTTCCGCACCGAGCGGTTTTTGTTGATGGTTATTCCGCCATTTATCGGATTTATGTTATAGTGTCGCGAAAAAAAGAATGTTTATTACTGCCAGCGCTCCGACTCCTATTTTTATAATATAGTAATATATTACTATCAGGCTCCTATGGTTGAGCTATTTACATGCCCAAAGGATTTAATAAAAAACCAGATTAAATTTCGATTGAAATTTCTTTAAGTAAGATAACCTTGAGTACATCTTTATACCTATTTTATTTTTGTGTTGAAATACCCAGATAATCGTTTATTTTTTA